ACACCATCTTGGTCCTCATATCTTCGACAAATATTTTATGATTATGAAATAATTGATCATCAGGTTTGTGCTAACTGAATAATTTATGGACGGCAAATAAACCAAAAGAAGCTTCAAAATGCATTTTTACAATGTTTCGCTTGACCTATAAATAATTTTTGAAAAAGCATGCTTCTTATTTCCAGAAATATCGAATCTTATGCAAGGGAAATAAGCAGGATATCATTTAAGTAGTCAAATCTTGACCTCAGCTACTAAGCTATAGCTAAAGAAGATAGAGGATAAGGCTAAGAATGGTAGTTTGAAATATTTTCTATAAAATATTGGCCATTAAAGCCATTAAAAAAATTGGTGGTGTTTATGAATGTAATAGAAATGCAAAGAATGCACATAAAACTATTTCATGATAAGCAATTATAGCATATTTTAACAACATTTATAGGAATAACTACACATTATGAAGAAGAAACACTTGAAAGCTTCATGAAATGTCTTGCAATAAATGTTTAAAATTTGTGCATTTTGTGATAGAATCCGATTTAATTGATTATAGCCGAAAAAGTCGTTAGCTGATAATAAAACAGCCTTGATGTGATGTAAGTTTTTCTAAGTATGTAGACATGTGGTTTGAATGAGACCAACTTCAGAAGCGAATATATGATACGCTATAGAACCTCATAAATTGCAAAGGAGATTAAGTACAGGTGCCAGTTAGCTGAAATTAATTAATTACTAATCAACAACTATGAATTAATTACTATTTAGTTCCAACTATGGAAGCTTACTGATAAGATAAAAGAATTTAGGCATATGAAATAAAGGACTGATGAATGCAAATGATGAATAATTTAGCGGCTTTGATGACATGATAAGACGAGAAGTATTAAAAAAATCTGTACCAACCATCATTGACGCCAAGTATGGCCTCAACATGTGCCTCCCGAATACCACTGTCGGATTCAGCGCCAAGTGTATCAGAGAAGTCGGCAAGAGTTCGTTGACCCTTTCGCTTAGGTAATTCTGGTGGAGTTGAAAGGTCGTTAGAAGCATGATACCAATCAGATTCAGGATCAGAACGGGACGTAGCACATAAAGGTAATAGAGACTGGAGTCCATTGCAATGCAAAGCCTATAATTTACATGCAAATAGCGATAAAATAGTCCTAGAGTGAAGATTCATAGGGAAAATTAAGTCAAGAAGGCAACATTTAACTCATAGCTTTATTGTATTAGAATTTACTACCAGCCCTTTACCCTGTGTATGCTATAGTAACTACAGTTCCAAGTCAAGATCTACTGATAATGTAAAAACCTGAAAAATATTAATTTATAGAACTAGTTAAAAGAAAGAAGAGGAGTAAGAAGAGAAAAAGTATAAGTGATGTCTTACAGAACTGGAAAATGTATACAAAAATGGCTCATAAGTTAAGTAGTCAATACCAAATAAAAGCATATTTAAAAAAATATAACATCCTGTTCAGGACAGTTGCTTTACATAACATGAATGATAGTATCCCGAATCAAATATTAATATAATATAAGACAAAACCTGTGCATTAGTATTATTGAGATCTGCATTAAAATAGAAGTAAGCCAATCCACATTAGAAAGACATAAGAAAGAACTATAGTTGTTTATAAAGGCAGAAAAAGAAAGCTGTCTAGATAGGATAAATTTACACTTCTTCGGTGTTTATAGGATGTATATTATAGATTCCATGTTAAAAATAAAGGGGTAACTTGATCATAACATTGTACGATGTCACCCCTCACTGTAAGGAAGGGGCAGTCTAGGCATAGAAT